GTATTTTTTTATTTTTATGAAATATATTTAAATATAAACAATTTTATTTTTTTTTTTATCTTAACACTAAACCTCTCTCTCCCCTCTAGGGTTTAGGGTTTAGGGTTTAGGGTTTAGGGTTTGTGCAGGAGGAGACAATGCTGCGTTTACTATCAAACTGCAACGGAAATATTCTCGATGATGCTGAGCTAACAAACACCCTTATAGAGGCTAGAAACACAGCTGATGCTGTTGCTGCTCGCATGCAAGAAGGAGAAATAATAATAAATAAAATAAATAAAATAAGTAAATTTTATAAACCCGCAGCAGCAAGAGGTTCTCTATTTTTTTTTACTACACAACAACTCAAAACCCTAAACCCTATGTACACCACAAGTCTAGAACTCTTCCTAGATACATTCACTGCTGCTATCAGGGAGCAGCACCAGCAATACAAACCCTTGCTGCAGCTGCAGCCGCAGCAGCAGCAGCAGCAGCAGCAGCAGCAGCAGCAGCAGCAGATGCTGGAGAGTCCTGGAAATCCGGAGGTTTCTGCTGCTGCAGCAGCAGCAGCAGCAGCAGCAGCAGAAACAGGAGAAGCAGCAGCAGAAACAGCAGCAGCAGCAGCAGCAGCAGCAGCAGCAGCAGCAGCAGCAGCAGAAGAAGAGGAGAAAGAAGTAAAAGAACTAATAGAAGCAGCAACCCTCGCAGTGTATACACAAACCCTAATGGGGTTATTTGAAAAACATAAACTCCCATTTGCTTTTGCTGTTGCAGCAGAAATATTAAAAAGAGAAAAATACCCAGAAACCGCTGAGGTACTAAACCCTAAACCCTAAACCCTAAACCCTAAACCCTAAACCCTATGTTTTTTTGTGTTTTATATATACGTTGCTACGGTTTGCATATATATAAAGAATTTGAGTGCTCTTATAGATTAAATTCCAGGGTTATATTTATAACCTAGGGTTTAGGGTTTAGGGTTTAGGGTTTAGGGTTTAGGGTTTAGGGTTTAGGGTTTAGGGTTTGTGGGGTTTCAGGCGAGCGAGTTTTTGTTGGGGGGATCGAGCGATCCCAGGGGTATCGAAGACAGCAGCAGCAGCAGCAACCCCTTCCCTGAGCTGCTGCAGCAGCAGCAGTGGTTGCAGCTGCTTGCTGCTGCTGCTGCTGTTGCTTCGTTGCAGAAGCTGCCTATACACCTCATCACGCATGCAGATACATGGAGAACATGGATAGAAAACACAAACCCTAATAAAAATAAAAATAAAAATAAAAATAAAAATAAAAATAATTTATATTCTTCTTCTCTTATCCCCCCTTTCTTCTCCCCCGAAGAAAAACAAAAAAAAGTTTTTGAAATTATGATCGTTCTATCCATAGTTAAACAAGAAACCGTAAACCCTAAACCCTAAACCCTAAACCCTAAACCCTAAACCCTAGAAAAAACATAAACCCTAAACCCTAGGGTATAGAAAGGCTTTCAGCACAGCATGCTATACGCGTTGCTAGATATAACAAAATAAAACAACCAATCGACCCCAAACCCTAAACCCTAAACCCTAAACCCTAACCCCTAGAAAAACCCTAAACCCTGAACCCTAAACCCTAAACCCTAACCCCTAAAAAAACCCTAAACCCTGAACCCTAAACCCTAAACCCTAACCCCTAGAAAACCCCTAAACCCTAAACCCTAAACCCTAAACCCTAAACCCTAGATATGTATATGTGTTCAGGTTGCTGCATTTGCAATGGAGGTTGTAGAGGAGGTGTTAGGTTCTTCTTTTTGTGATTTTGCTGCTCCCCCACTAGAGGAGGTTGTTTGCTGCTGCAGCAGCAGCAGCAGCCCGCTGCTGGTGCTGCTAGCTGCTGATGCAGACCCTACCTCTTCTTTTTTTTCTATCGCGGAACAACAAAACCCTAAACCCCAATTTGAATGTATTTCACTAGGAAGGGGACAATGGCCAAAAGCTTCTAGGGTTCTTTCAAACGCTATCAGGTATACAAACCCTAAACCCTAAACCCTAAACCCTAAACCCTAAATAGTAGGGGGAGAGAAAACATAAACCCTAAACCCTTACATATACATTTTTCAGGTGTATGTACACCTGAAGCAGCTGCATATACACCTGGAATAGCTGTGTATACACGTGAAACATATATAAGTATATATATTTCAAGTGTATATACACATAAACCATATACAAGTATATATATATATATATATATATATATATATATATATATATATATATATATATATATATATATAT